GATCCTTTAAAGTATACATGTGTTGACTTGAGTAAAACCATAAGGAAATGCAGCCATCACCACTGTGTAGTTCTAGGATGCCGACTTTACCTTGTACTGTTAGCCGTCACTGCCTACCCCTCACCCACTATGTCCCCCAAGTCCTCAGCAAACCACTGACTTGCCCTTGGCTCTCTGGGTTTGCGTGTTCTGGACGTTTCCTGTCTGTGCACTCTGCCGTTTGCGTGTGGCTTGCTTCACTCTGCGTGGTGTATTTAAGGTTTATCTGCACTGTGGCATGGGTCAGTACTTCATTTATCTATCCTCAGACCAGGGAGCAGTCCTCAGAACCGAGCAAGGTCCAAAATCAGGAAAGGAGTATGTCAGGGATGTGTCGGGAAGCAGGGCTTTATGAGGAGGAATGTGGCATCAGGATTAGAGGAAGACTCATCAACAGCCTAGTTACGCAGATGACACAGCCCTGCTTGCTGAAACTGAGAAGGCTCCTGAAGCACTTGATGCAGAAGGTCAAGGACTGTAGTCTTCATTATGAATTGAAGTTCAACATCAAGAAGACAAAGATTCTCACCATAGGGTCAATTGTCAGCACCATGATAGATGGATAAGATATTGAGGTTGTTAACAGTTACAGCTCGCTTGACTCCACAATCAACATTCTTGGCATCAGCAGTCAAAATATGAATTTTTTTAAAATCAAAAGATTATAAAACAGTCTGTTTTAAACTTTAAAAAAAAAAAAAGATGAATTGCCCTGCGAAAATCTGCTGTCAGGGACCTCTACAAGAGTACTGAGAAGCAACGATGTCAGTCAAGAGACCAAGGTGTGCCTCATCCATCAGAGAGCAGAACAATGACTAAGGATGACAGAAGAAGAATTGATGCCTTTGAATTTTGCCGGAGAGGAGTCTTAAACATACCATGGACGGCCAGGAAAACAAATGAGTCTTGTCTTGGAGAGGGTAAAACCAGTTTTCTCCTTGGAGGCTAGGATTTTGAAGTGTTATCTCACACTTTCTTTGGGGAGTCATAGTTACTCATATTTGCGTGGTATGGGATCCACTGCTGGCTCGACTTAGAAGAAGTCGTGGAACTTGGGATATTGTAGCTATTGTCAGATGGATCTTGGCTGAAAGCAGGGAGTACCAGAGGAATGTCTACCTGTGTTTCATTGACTATACAAAGACATTTGACTGTGTGGATCATAACAAATTGTGGCTAACTCTGAGAAGAATGGGAATCCCAGAAGACTTGATTGTGCTTATGTGAAACCTCTACTTGGACCAGGAGGCAGTCATCAGAACAGAGCAAGGAAACACTGCATGGTTTCAAAATTGGGAAGGGTGTGTGTCAAGGAGTATCCTGTCTCCATATCTTTTCAATCTATATGCAGAACAGATTATCCGGGAGGCTGGGCTCTATGAGAAGTGTGGCATCAGGATTGGAGGAAGGTTCATCAACAATCTATGTTATGTAGATGACACAACCCTGCTTGCTGAAACTGAGGAGGACCTGAAGTGCCTGCTAGAGAAGGTCAAGGACTACAGCCTTTAATATAGATTGAAGTTCAACATCAAGAAAACAAAGATTCTCAAAAAAAAAAAAGAAAAAACAAAGATTCTCACCACTGGGCCGATTGGCAGCATCATGATGGATGATGAAGAGATTTAAGATTGTTGACAGCTTCAGTTTGCTTGGTTCTGCAGTCAGCACTTTGGATACCAGCAGCAAGGAAATTAAAAGACGAATTGCATTAGAAAAGTCAGCTGTCAGAGAACTCTCCAAGGTACTGAGGAGCAACGATGTCAGTCTGGAAACTAAGGTGCGCCTGGTACAGGCCATGGTCTTTGCCATTATTTGCTGTGCTTCAGAGAGCTGGACAGTGACTAGGGATGATAGAAGGAGAGTTGATGTCTTTGAGCTGTGGTGCTGGAGAAGAGTATTGAATATACCCTGGACTACCAGGAGAACAAACAAGTTCACCCTGGAGAGTGTGAAGCCAGGCTCCTTCTTGGGAGGCAAGGATTCTGAAGCTCCGTCTGACATATTTTAGACATGTTGCAAGGTAGGATCAGTCCTTGGAGAGGGCCGTCATGCTTGAGAGGGTAGAGGGACAGTGCAGGAGAGGAAGACCCTCGATGTGATGGATTGATTCAGTGACTGAGGTAATGGGGATAAACATGTGAGAGACAATAAGATTGGCACAGGCTAGAACAGGGTTTAGGGCTATTGTATATAGGGTCACTAAGAGTTGCAGGTGACTCGACAGCACATAACAACAATCTCATACTTTGGGCATGAGGCCAGGAGAGACCAATCCTTGGAGAGGACATCATGCTTGGAAGGGTGGAGGGACAGTGTAGGAGAGGAAGACCCTGGATGAGATGGATTAATACAGTAACTGGGGCAGTGAGAGTTGGTGTGTTGGACTCAGTGAGACAGGCTCTGGACAGGGCCGGCTTCAGAGCTGTTGTTGTACATAAGGTTGCTATGAGTTGCCGGCAGCTTGACAGCGCATAACAGCAAGAATCATCCGCAGAACTGATGTCTTTGAATTGTGTTGAAGAAAAGAACTGCATAGCCCATGGACCGCCAAGAGAACAACCAAGTGAAACCAGAGTGCTCCTTGGAGGCAAGGATGCTGAAACTCCCATCTCAGATGCTTTGGCGTGCTGTGAGGAGAAATGAATCCTTAGAGAAGGACATCATGCTTTGGAAAAATGAGGGCTTCAGTGTGAGGGAGGGAGGTCCTTCAAGGTGGACTGACACAGTGACTGTAGCAATGAGCTCAGGTGTGTTGGAAATGAAGGTGACGCAGGATAGGCCAGGTTCAGAGCCATTATTCGTAGGGTTGCTGAGTCACCTTGGACGTAAAAGCCCCGAACCATCACAGTGTTCCATCGAGTGTTAGAAGTAGTGGTGGTGAGGCTTCTTCTCCCCTGCCGTGGCCATGTCTGCAGCTTGGACAGGTCACTGCAACAGGATAACGTGTTGGGATCCTCTATAACAGTATCAGGTAGAACAGTGACTGCAGACAGTGCCACACTGGACGGCGGCTCACCCTGTTATACACACTGACTGAGGTGGACAGGACTGGGCGGTGTCATGTTGTATACACACTGACCATGAGGTGGACAGGACTGGGCAGTGTCATGTTGTACACACACTGACCATTAGGTGGACAGGACTGGGCGGTGTCATGTTGTACACACTGACCGTGAGGTGGACAGGACTGGGCGGTGTCATGTTGTATACACACTGACCGTGAGGTGGACAGGACTGGACGGTGTCATGTTGTACACACACTGACCGTGAGGTGGACAAGACTGGGCGGTGTCATGTTGTGTACACACTGACCGTGAAGTGGACAGGACTGGGTGGTGTCATGTTGTGTACACATTGACCGTGAAGTGGACAGGACTGGGTAGTGTTATGTTGTACACACACTGACCGTGAGGTGGCTTACCCTGTTGTACACAGTGACTGTGATGTGGACAGGACTGGGTGGTGGCTTACCATGTTGTACACAGTGACCGTGAAGTGGACAGGACTGGGTGGTGTCATGTTGTACACACTGACCGTGAGGTGGACAGGACTGGGTGGTGGCTTACCC